AAAAGCTTCTCCTACACCCCCTGCCTTGAAGTCTTTGCTCCGTCTGTTATGGAGAATGTACTACTAAATGTTTTTTAGATTTTTGACATTTTGGTAGGTAAATTTCCTTTGAGAGAGACTGAGAGAGCAGCAATCTTAATTATGAATAACCAGGCTTATCTAAATCCGCTGCCATTTCAGTAATTTGAGGTGGCACAGCTCGCCGTCATTGACATTCAACATAACAAAGTCCCGCTAAGTGTTATCAGAACCGTCTTTGCAGCTGATAAAAAAACAGCTTCTCTTTTACCGCCTCCATCGAGTGAGTGTAGTGAGAACGGCTACTGCAAGATTAAAGCAGCTGACTACCCAAAGTATAGAAATGTTAATCCATCAGACTTACTTGTGTTTAGGTTTTTCAAATCCCTGCGAGCATGTCATTAAAGAAGAAAAAAGTAAGCTTGCGCCTGACATGTGAACGACCCGAGCTGTTTGCTGAATGGCAACAGGACATAGCTACAGTTCTTAGCGAGCAGAAAGTGTGAAAACATGATCACCTTTTTATGTAATCTCCCCACAGTATTACAAAATACGACTTTGTTCAGCTCTAAATTTGTGAATTTACCTGAGTTCCCTTTCATAACATGCATTTTGCAGCCTTTGAAGGAAATGTACATGAAATAATAAGGGAAAGGACAGACTTTTCTATGAGTGGCAGTTCTGTGCTGTCCTGACATGGCTCGGTTTAAGGCAGTTTAGGCCATGTCAGGACAACATCGAAGAAGCCGCAGATGGTTAATGGATGTGTTTATTGTTCTCGGATAACACAACAGCTTGTAACTTTTACCTCGCAGAGAGCTCAGTCCACTTCTCTCCAGCTGTCTTACGAGCACGTCCGTCCTTAAGGTGAGAACCCGACACCGAGTGAGGACATAATGCAAACGAATAATTGCTTCTGGCTGTGAAGATCAACTCCTCTTCCAGCTTCTTCGATGAAGAGCAATTTGCTCTGCTCGGTTAAAACTGTATTTGAGTCAAACTGTGATCACGGCTTGACCAAACAATTTTACAGGGCCAACATCATTTTACCAGGCTATATGCAGGGGTAGCCTCCAATTATTGATTTTATGTGTCTCACACTTGGGGAGAAAACGTGAAACATTCTGCCACTGTGGGAGATCTCGTAAGACTAGAGCTAACTCATAGATGTTGTCTTTAAGTTGCTTACAAGGCAGTTCATGTCAGTTGAAGATACAGATAAATATCAGTGTTTATTTTAAAGCTGAGTGACTCGTGTCTTCTGACGACTTTAACCATAAGAAAATAAAGGGAATATTTATGTGAATAAAAACAGCTTTAAAGGGAATTTGTCTGCATGAATCTACATTTTATAGCGTGCACGCAGCACCAAGGCACATCAATTCTAAATGAGTGTACACATATTTGACCTCTGTGGATCATCAGCGGCATTAGATGGGAAAGATGGATATAGTGTTTCTTTATTTGTTCTTATTCTTCCTATCTTGTTGTAAATCCCCCAAAGGGCAGTGTCATCCACTGACTGGGTCCTCTGTTACTCATGTCACATTGCTTTTTAACAGGCTGATGATCATAATGGCTTCTAGTTTCTACACTTCTTTACCTTGAAAACCAGACTTTAAATGATTTTTAGAAAAATCCTTGGTACGTCTTTGGTACAACAGCGAGCAGCATATAATGAAACTCCACGTTGCTTTGTGCCTGGAATCTTCAGTGAGGTTAAAACATTTATGAGCCTTGTAAATCAAACACACACCACCACTGCTTGTAGTAAAAACCCTCAACCAAAGATGGACTTCAGCTGATGTCTCAATGTCAATCTGACACATATAGATTGTAGATGTCAACTGATGTCAACTGTGAGAACACCTTTGATGCTGAGTAATTTTTTATGGCCTTTTGAAGGTTATGTAATTTAATAAATTCGATAAAATAACAGATTAATTATGAATGGAAATATTTGGTGGTTGTTGCCCATATTAGCTTCTTTGCCTTTGGTCTTATTTTTGCCTGATGGAAGTGTCTTTGTCGTGTTTCTTCCTCTATGGTATTTTTCATTTTCCTCTTTTGTCGCCCTCCCTTTAGCTTTGATTACTGGGTTGGGAAACTCCAGCCGTTATTTACGTTGCTCTCTCTGGCTCCAGCCTCGTGCTCTGTGTGCCCTCAGCTCTCTGATGATGGGAGCTGCTTTCCCAGCAGTGGGCAACAATCCCTCACTAACAGGGCTAACATGTCAGCAGCCCCACTGTCCTCTCCAGGGCTTTTAAGGCCGCTCACTTCCTCACTCAGGGGTTATTAGTGTGCAGATCACTGGGGAGCCAGCCCAGGCTGCGCTGGCATTTGCTGCCTGATTAGCATACTTTCTAGATCTGTGGTTTTGTTATTCATTTCCTTTTTAAGGGGCAGGAAACCAAGAGATATCGCACCTACCTTATTTTTTTGTAAGCTTCAGTTCAGTTCATGGAGTTTACTCAAGTGTGGTCTGCCCACTATTTGATAAAGCAGTGGAAGAAAAGCAAAAGTCAGGCTGTTGAGTCTGCAGCTTGCTTGTTTTTCAAAAATACCCCCTTCAAGTCAGTCTTTGCCTACTTTTGATGACAAAAGGCAAGTAGTTTATATGAATATTTATTCTGAATTGATGAAAAGAGAATCAACAATCGCACCTATAATGTCCTCCTGGATTTGGCTTGTCATGTCAGATTCTATTTCTATAACTCAGTTTGTCTTTACTCGTCACATCTTGGACTGTTGTCCCGATAATCAAGAGAAAAGATCCCTTGTTCAGCAGGCTTTCCTCTTCCGTGATAGACTCAGATGGAGGCGGCTCAGACTTGTGTGGGTGTGAGCTCACACACATCGAGACAGCTTCAGCTGAGTGACGACAGCGTCGCCGGTTAGTGTCCCTAATTCTGCTTTATCCTGACACACGTGGCCCGTAGCGTCTCCTTTACTGGCGCAGAGGCAGATAAACTCTGAGTCTGCGTTGGACTCTCAGTGTCGGCTCTAACAGGCTGATTATATCTCCAGAGGATTATGTTTGCTCTTTATACAGCCTTTATTCAGCATTCTAAATACTAAACATGAATTCCTGATTACTTTCTACTGAAAGGTATGGCTTATAGTACAATTGTAGTTAGTCATAAACCAAATAAATAGTGGAGATATGTATTTTATTATTTTATTTTTGTATATCAATTTATAAACTGAATGGTCAGGGATATGAGTTTGATAAATCCTCTAGGATGAAGTTATATATAAAATCACATTTAAAAACAGGTTAAGAAATTCAACATTTCAGTACCCAACCAACAGACTTCTGATTAATAATATCAGTAAAAGTAATTGTTAGGACCCGCTTAATTTAACTTAACAACTGAGATAATGATAGTTTCCCTAAAATAATTTTTCATTATTATCAACCTTGTAGTTCTATATCTTCAGCATTTGTCCGCAGTGTTCATGTTAAAAACCGAGGTAATAACAAGGTTCATTCAAGCTTAATTGCAATCAAACGACTTGAAAAATGGATGCGTGTTAGTATCCACAGCAGTTGGAAGCATCAGATACGCGAAATAGAAATATGTAAAGTTGAGAATGCTCGAGTGAAATGGACCGGAGAGCTTTTGCCACATGGATCTGGATGGAGTGTGTTTGCTCCGGTGCCCATACTTAACTAATGTGTGTGTGTGTGTGTTTTCTGCTCTCAAACCCCCGGGCTTGCCAGAGAGTCGGCACCCCTCCATCACCGCTCTATTATGGCTGACATTTGACCCCGGTCGATGTGCTTAAAGCCAAAGGAAGGAGCTCAGTGTTGCGACCATCTGGGTCACAGCATGAAAGAGAAAGCTGTCGCTGTTTGATCCTTTGTCTCCGCTGAGTTTTTCTCCGGAAAGCCTCAGATGGAGAGCCATTTAATGCGAAACCTATTTTTGAAAAGGATATTCCATCCTTGAAATCGAACTTAATATAGCTTATATGAAACCTGGTAAGTGTTCAAGAATGTGTCTTTGTGGCCCGAGTGCGGAGCCCACACAAAAGTGGACTTTTCTTTGCTGGGTTCCACCTAAATGCCTGACCTTCAGATTCTGTGAGACTCTGATCTTTTTTTAAATTCAGAATAGACTGAATAGGCACCGTTTTTCTTTCTTTTCTTTTTTTTGGTTTGTCATTGAAAATCCATCTGTTTAAAGAATTCCTCCTTTGCGAATAGAGAACTAAAGAACAGGCTTCTGTACAGACATTTACACAAATACAAAGGCTTGAAGGTGTTCGTATGTTCAGTTAGCTTCACTTTCAGCCTCTTTGCTGTCAGATGAAGTTTTGAGGTGGTCGCTCCTCCTCAGCTCAAAGGTATTTCATGGTTCACATGAAGCAGATTTGCACACATCTGCTCAGAGGCCCTGTTTTTCAGCCTCGCTGACAGGACCCTGGGACAGTGAGGGTCCATGATCACCAGTGTTGTTCGCCTGTAGGCACATCCCTGTCATGGAAGTTGACGCCACTCGTGATTTACATCAGTTTTTTAACTGAAGCCCATTTTCTCACTTAGGATTTCATTATCACAACGAGCTACAGATCCGTGTTCATGTTTCCCCTGGGTGGGTGAATGAAAAGCAGTTAAAAACTTTGTCCAAAAAGTCTTGTTGCGCGCTCACTTTACATGTATGTGAGTCTAGGAGCAGCGCCTGTTGGGTGCACATGTTACTTCCTGAATCTTTAGATCGAAACCACTGTGCGTAGAAAAAAGAGAAGCGCGAGAGGATAAACTTTATTCCTTGCGATGGTTTACAAACTGTGGGGGGTTGTACAGCCATGGCCACGAGGGGAAACGACATATTTCAAAGAGTGAAACATTAGTACCCAGTTTGCTGCTGTACAGAAAAAGGAAGGCCGTCTGTTATCAGATTATTTGACAGTGGGGGATCCATCAGGAGGCTTTTCCTTTGGTAAAACCATTCTGTCTCCCAACAGGTGAGGTGAAGATGGTGGACCGGCTTGCTAACAGCGAGGTCAACTCCAAGCGGATCGGGCTGGTGGAGGGCTGCTTCGGGGCGGCGGGCCAGCCGCTCGCCATCCCGGGCCGCGTGCTGATCGGAGAGGGCGTCCTCACCAAGCTGTGCCGCAAGAAGCCCAAGGCCCGGCAGTTCTTCCTCTTCAACGACATCCTGGTCTACGGCAACATCGTCATCCAGAAGAAGAAGTACAACAAGCAGCACATCATCCCCCTGGAGAGCGTCACCATCGACACGGTGCCCGACGAGGGCGAGCTGCGCAACGGCTGGCTCATCAAGACGCCCACCAAGTCCTTCGCCGTCTACGCCGCCACCGCCACCGAGAAGTCCGAGTGGATGAGCCACATCGGGAAGTGCGTGGGCGACCTGCTGCAGAAGAGCGGCAAGTCGCCCACCGGCGAGCACGCCGCCGT